CCTTGAACGACGGGCGCCCGGTGGGCTTGCCACTCAGGCGAGGCTCCGTTTCGTAGAATACCCGCTCTCCATCCTTCTAGCTGTCGAGCCGCAAAGCATGATGACAAAGCTCAAGGAAATGTCCAACGGCAACCCCTGCTGGAAGGGATCTGCCCTCCACCCGCGCATGTGTTGCACAGCTCAACATTTATGGTCTCACAAAGCGCGGAAGCCTCAACAAAGGGCCACTGTCGAACCGTGCACCTCTTGCACAATTTAGAACCTCGGGCTCCAGAATGAAAGAAAACTTCTGGGGCAAGATCCCCATACGTTCCTGCGTGCACATCGTCGGTGGCCGATGTTAGAAGAGTCGAGGCGGAACCGGGACCGAGGCCGCTTCCGGAGGGGAAGCTGGAGGCCACCCAGAGCCGAAGCCTGGGCCGAGGCCGTGGGAGCCGAGGCTGAAGCCGGGGCGGAGCCCGGTGCAGGGCGCAGAGCCGGTGCCAGAGCCGAGGCCGAGGCTGGGGCCCGGGCCTCCCGCAAAGGACGAAACGTTGGCCTGACGCGCCGCGGCTCCGCGATGCGCGAAGTTACCGTCACGACCTTCGCGCCGCCGCCCTGGAGACAGGCGCCTCTAAGGCCAAGGCCGCGACGCGCGGGGGCGCGATTATCTTCGCGCCCCCCCGCGAGGGGGAGGAGGAGGAGGAGGAGGAGGAGGAGGAGGAGGAGGAGGAGGAGGAGGAGGAGGAGGAGGAGGAGGAGGAGGGGAGGAGGGAGGAGGGAGGAGAGGAGGAGGAGGAGGAGGAGGAGGGAGGAGGAGGAACGCATGCGCGGCATGGAGGGCGAGGGAAGCTGCCCCTGTGCCGAATCGTCTTTGGTAGGCTTAAGGGCCGTCCCCAAGGGCACCTCGATGGGCTCTCGCTGCTGACTCCTGGCTTGTTCGTGAAGCTAGAGTGACGAGATACATACATGTCCACCGCCGCTGGCCAGGCCCATCCTGGGCCCAGGAGCGGTGTATACGTCTCCCTGGTTTGGCCGGGAGCAATGTATATGCCTGCCTGCCTGGCGGAGAAGGAGAAGGGGGGAAGCGAGCCGACCCCCGCAGACTTTCGTCGGGGGAGTTGGTCATACGCTAGGTCACCCCCAGGGGCGCGAAGAGATAATCGCGGTTCTCGCATCGCGGCCCGTGCTGGAAAGCTGCCCCTCTCCACGGGGCGGCGCAAGGGCGCGAAGATTTACCGCGCGTTACCGAAGTTCGGCGACGCAGACAAAAGGATCTCGGGACTGCTTGGGGGCGTTTGCCATCGAAGGCGGTGGGGCCCTCCGGAAGAGGCAGGGCTGGGGGCGCCCGCGGCGGGGGCAGCGGCCAGGCGGGCGGCTAGAGTGGGGCGGGGGGGTCCTCCTCCTCCTCCTCCTCCTCCTCCTCCGCCTCCTCCTCCTCCTTCCTCCTGCCTCCTCCTCCTCCTGCCTCCTTCCTCCTCCTCCACCTCCTCCTCCTTCCTCCTGCCTCCTGCTCCTCCTGCCTCCTTCCTCCTTCCTCCTGCCTCCTTCCTCCTTCCTCCTTCATCCTTCCTCCGTCCTTCTCCCTTCTCCTCTTTCTCCTCCTCCTCCTCTTCCTTTCATTCTCAATCCACCAACATCGAATCGTGCCGATCGGATCAAAGTGGAAGCGGCGAAGGGCGGGGCAAGAGGAACGCGGGCGGAGACGGCCCGTCCTTAACGTTGCGAAGGACCACCTCTGCCAGCACCTTCTCTAATGTCGCGTCCCCCTCCTTCAGCTGTTGGTGCACGTCCTGGGAGATGACAGGGGCACGCGGTCCCGCGCGTCGGGAAGCTTGTCAACAGATGGTGCCCCGTGGTCCGAATCAATAAGCATCACCCGTCCTGGCAGCCACGCCCGATCTGTAACCTTACAGTCGGCAAGCACGTGCAGCCGCACCGACACGCGCATGTCTGAGGTGCAAAGCGCAGGCTCGCGCTGCCCACGACACGGAACTCGCAGATGGCAAGACGAGAAGCCGAGACACAGAAGGCGCGCTGCACACGCAGGATGCCGTGCACAATTGAAGGGGCTCAAGGACTCACAAATAAATATACGTACACAAATAAACATATCCCCCATATTTTCCTATATTTGTGGATTTTTGTCTTTCCCCCCGCTTCCCATAGTTTCCCATCTTGTCTGGGGAATCGCCGATTAATTGTGTCTGTGTGTTTCTTTCCCTCCTGAACAATCCGCCACGCGCTGCCGGGACAGGCGTCCTCGAACAGCGGCTTGATGACGCCCTTGAACACCATTCGCCACATCTCCTCGCCGGCGCGCGCCGAAACAACGCCCCCCTCCCTGCCGAGGAGCTGCCTGCGGCGGGTTCGTCTCTGGACGACTTTGCGAATCGGTTTCGGACACCGCGAGGCTCTCTCAACCTCGAACGATCGCGGCTTCCCGATCGCGCAAGATCATCCGATGTCGGCCGACTGCGGGCTGGTGACGAACCTCTCCCGACAATCCCACGACGAGGGAGGATACAGGGAATTCTGAGGGAGGCAGAGGGGGAGGGGAACGGATGAGCGACACTTCTGAGCGTTGCTTGCTCTTTTCGGGCCTCCAGAAGACTATGGACCTGATCTTGGCCCGGAGGGGCCCCGGGGAACTCCGGAGAACCCCGGAGAGGCTCTGACAACCGAGACCTTACTCGAACCCTTCTTGACAGACGCTTGTTCTCAACCATCTGGCATGGACCTTCCTGCCCCTTCTCCTTCATCCGCCCTGCTTCTCTTCCTTCTCCACCCTGCTCCGCCTTCGCTCAGCATCATCCTCCTTTTTCTCTTGCTCTCTCCTGCTCCTCCTCCTCCTTCTCCTCCTCCTCCTCCTCCACCTCATCCTCCTCCTCATCCTCCTCGCCCCATTGACTCTTCCTGAACTCCTCCTCGCCAGACTCCTACGAAACACTCCTTCCCCCTACTCGTACCACTCCTGCTCGTCAACCATAAATCTCTTCCCTGAGGAAGACCCACTTTCCGACTCGACTGGAGTGACCGAAACCACCTTAGGAGCCCAGAGCTCCGGTTTCTCAGGCGTTCCTGGGACTCTTCACCGACGTAAAACTTCCCCTGGGGCCCCCAAGAGCCTAGAGACCTTTTGCTTGAGAAAGGAACACCCCCCAGGACCCCTGAGAGTGCCCCAATCAGCAACCCAGATGGTCCGAGGGCGCCCCAAGGCGGCCCAAGAGCGCCCCACGACGCCCAAGATAGCCCCACGACAGCAGAAGCCTCAAGAGGGTTCACGACGGCTCCAAGAGGCAACGAACCGATGATTCCCCGTCGGCTTTTGAAGGATTATCTAATTCTCACCTCTTCGGGCTCCCGACGCTCCAAGGTGGCCCAAGAGGCCCCCCACGATTGCCCAAGAAGCCCCTAATGAGGGCCGGCCCACGAGGCCCCCGAGACGACCCCAAGAGAGCCTAAAGAAGACGAACGCGAAACGACATTTCGAGCCCTCTGCCCCAAGATGACCCCCGAGACCACCAGGGGGCTCCCCAAAGGCCCACATCAGGCTCCAAAAGGCCTCCAGGAGGCCTCCGAGCGGCCCCTGTGAGGCTCCCAAGACACCCCCAAACCGCCTCAACAAGCATACTAAAGGCCGCCCAAGAGATCCCACAGGCATGCAAGAAGCCTCTGACCTACAACGAAAGCACGGTGGCGTGATGGACCGAAAACCACTCGATTGCAGCAGTAGTAGTATAAGCGCTCAGAACAAATAGTGCTGGTACTAGTAGTGGCAGCGGCAGTCAAAGTAACAGTAACAGTAGCAGCAGTAGTAGTAATAGTAGTAGTAGTAGTAGTAATAATAGTAGTAGTAGTAGTAGTAGGAGTAGTAGTAGTAGTAGTAGTAGTAGTTGTTGTAGTCGTCGTCGTAATCGTAGTCGTAGTCGTAGTAGTAGTAGTAGTAGTAGCAGCAGCAGTAGTAGTAGTAGTAGTCGTCGTAGTGGTAGTAGAAGTAGTAGTACTGTAGTCGTAGTAGTAGCAGTAGTAGTAGTAGTAGTTGTTGTAGTAGTGGTGATAGCAGTAGTCGTGGTAGTGATCGTAGTACTCGTAGTAGTACGTAGTGGTAGTCGTAGTACTAGCCGTTGTCGTAGTACCAGCAGCAGCAGTCGTGTTATTTTCGGTAGTCGTAGTAGTAGTCGTCGCCGTGGTAGTAGTAGTAGTAGTAGCAGCAGTAGTAGTAGTAGTAGTGGTAGTAGAAGTAATGGTAGTAGTAGTAGTAGTAGTAGTAGTAGTAGTAGTAGTCGTAGTAGTAGTAGTAGTAGTAGTAGTAGTAGTAGTAGTAGTAGTAGTAGTAGTAGTAGTAGTAGTAGTAGTAGTAGTAGTAGTAGTAGTAGTCGTAGTAGTAGTAGTAGTAGTAGTAGTAATAGTAGTAGTAGTAGTAGTAGTAGTAGTAGTAGTAGTAGTAGTAGTAGTAGTAGTAGAGAAATAGTAGCAGTAGTACTAGCGGTACTAGTACTAGTAGTAGTAGTAGTAGTAGTAGTAGTAGTAGTGGTAGTAGTAGTAGTAGTAGTAGTAGTAGTAGTAGTAGCGTGATGGTAACAGTAGTAATCGTAGTAGAACTAGTAGTACTAATCGTCATAGAAGTAGTAGTAGTAGTAGTAGTACTAGTGCTAGTACTGGTAGCACTAGCAGTAGTAGTAGTAGTAGTAGTAGTAGTAGTAGTAGTAGTAATAATAGTTATCATAGTAGTCAATAGTAGTAGTAGTAGTAATAATAATAGTAGTAGTAGTAGTGGTAGTAGTAGTAGTAGTAGTAGTAGTCGTAGTAGTAGTGGTAATAGTAATCGTGATAGTAGTAGTAGGAGTAGTAGTAGTAGTCTTACTAGTGGTAGTAGTAGTAGTAGTAGTAGTAGTAGTACTAGTAGTAGTAGTACTAGTAGTAGTAGTAGTAGTAGTAGTAGTAGTAGTCGTAGTAGTAGTAGTAATAGTAGTAATAGTAATAGTAGTGGTCGTAATAGTAGTACTAATAGTAATAGCACTAGTAGTCGTAGTAGCAATAGTAGTAGTAGCAGCAGCAGCAGTAGTAGTAATAGTAGTAGTACTAGTAGTGGTCGTAGTGGTAGTAGTGGTAGCAGCAGCAGTAGTAGTAGTAGTAGTAGTAGTAGTAGTAGTAATAGTAGTAGTAGTAGTAGTAGTAGTAGTAATAGTAGTAGCCGTAGTAGTAGTAGTCGTAGTAGTAGTCGTAGTAGTAGTAGTAGTAGTAGTAGTAGTAGTAGTAGTCGTAGTCGTAGTCGTAGTAGTAGTAGTAGTAGTAGTAGTAGTAGTAGTAGTCGTCGTAGTAGTAGTAGTAGTAGTAGTAGTAGTAGTAGTAGTAGTAGTAGTCGTAGTAATGGTAATAGTAGTCGTGGTCGAAGTCGTAATAGTAGTAGTCGCCGCGGAGCTCAAAACGTTTGTGTGATGCTCATGATGAATCGACGTTGGGGACAGTCACCGCTGCTTCGCCGCAGTCGCTTACGGACCTTGCACGCAGGGAGCGCGCAGTGCTGCTGCAGAATCCCAACCATGCTCGCAAGCCCACGGCGGCACACAGACTGCGGATTCCTGCGCAATCAGCGCTGGGCGTGCCGAGGAGCATGGATCTTCATCGAACTTGTGCTCGCACTGCTGCTGTTGGTCCTCCTCTTCCTAGTGCTGCTGCTCCTCCACCTTCTCTTTCCCTGTTCCTATGTTGTTATAACTCGGTCTCTCTTTCTGTCTCTCTCTCTCTGCCCCCCCCTCCTCCTCCTCCTCCTCCTCCTCCTCCTCCTCCTCCTCCTCCTCCTCCTCCTCCTCCTCCTCCTCCTCTTCCTCCCTCTCCTCATCATCCCTCTCTTCTTGTTATTACTCCCCTTTCTCATCCTCGCTCTCCCCCTCCTCCACCTCCTCCTCCTCACCCTCCTGCTCCTCCTCATCGCCACCCTCCCCCACCTCCTTCTGCTCCCCCTCCTCCTAATCGAAGTAGGCGTGTACTGCTGCAATCTCGCGCCGACTCGCTGATTGGTGCTGAAGTTGCGATGCGAGAACACTTGACGGCTTGGATGCGTTCGACTCGGAACGCACAGCTGTCAAACATGCTTCAACAGTGCGAGCTCCTGAGATGGCCCCTGGCTCTCAACATGGCGAACTCTCAACTCTGCGAACTATGTCGAACTTCGCGCGGACACGGCGCGGTACCTTGCGTGTCCCATGCGCTTGCACGGTTTCAAGCCATCTGTTGCCAAACAGCCAGTGATGCTGAGTAGACCGCTTGTAACCTATTATATGCTCCGATCACGCTGCTCGTCAGTTCTGCTGCCGAACGTCTAGCCTACGCCTGGACAAAGCCTCGCCGATAAAAATTCAAGATCAGAATGAAGAGCCCAGCAATGCCGAATCCTCGTCAAATGCTACCAGACCGTGGTCGCGAAGGCAGTGAACGACACCTGGGCGCAAGAGCGCAATCGTGCTCATTCTTGTCAACCAAGATTCGTAAGTCAATCATTCCCAAGGCCGTGCCATTTCATGTCGCGTTCCTTCTCAATGCATTTAGGTCACCTAACCTGGCGCACTGCGCCCCGCGATGTGCAATAATCTTTGCGCTATTGTGCCAACGAGCCACTCTCTTGGAGAAGGAAAACCGCTATGACCCAGGGCCGCGACGCGCGAAACGCGGATACCTTCGCGCTTCTGGGGGTGACCTATAGATGTATGGCCGTCCTTCTGATCCCCTCCCTGTCGCCCTCAGAACATACTTCCGATACACTCCTCATTCGCCAGTCATTTATCGCCCACCGGAACAAACATGCCAGGCACGACAAACTATGGGCCATCAGGATCTGATATCGACGCCAACGAGGGAGAGACATGCGGCTGACCCGCAACCTGCTATCTTGGCCTTTGCCCAAACTCGCGCCACGCCAACAACAACCCTTGGAATCCGCAACCCCTCCTCCTCCTTCCTTCTCATCCGAGCCTTCCTTCTCACCACCACTGTCGTGATCATCCTTCCCCGTTCTTCCTGGGTCGTCCAGTTCTGGTCTCCACGCCGCGCAACGCGCCGTTTTCTTCGCACCCTCGCAACGCTCCCCCTGGAGAAGGGCAGCTCTCCATCCTGGACTGCTGAGCGCGAAGCGCGGATATCTTATGTTGTCATCGCGCCCCTGTGAGTGCTACAGCTCTCACAGGAAGTGGTCAACGAAGTGGCAGCCGAGCGTCAGAGAGGCATCGGTCGGGGCAACGTAACTAAGACTCAGTTTTGGGGGCCCGAGTTGGCCTGACGGCGCCGTCAGAATAATGGCGGGACTTAGTCTGAAATTTGACGAGAACTCTCGCTGCAGATCTCCCATCGGGCCGTCAAAACTCACATCGGGACTGTCGAAGAGCGGAGGTTCCCCCGAGTTCCGGCAAGCTCGAATCTTATAGATCACCTGAGCCTGCGCGTCGCGTCCCCGGAGGCGCCGACGCTGCAATATCTTCGCGCCCTCGCGCGGCCGCCCGGGGAAATGGCGCACATCTCTAGCCAGGCCGCGATGCGCGATGAACTCCGCGCCCCTGGGAGTTCTGGCAAGCTCGAATCTTACGTGTCTCAAAATCCGCCGACCCTGTCGGCGTGTGTGAGGGGCTTTTCCGTTCGAGCCGTCATCTCCGTCATTCTTTGTAATCGTCGTCTCTGTCGTTCCCTTTCCCTGGTGCCCCTCTTCCCCTGGGCTCCTCCCCGCTCCCCTCGCCCTTTCCCCGGGCCTCCTCCTCAAGCGCGCTAGCCAAACCGACCTTCAGCAACGTCGTAATTGATTCGAAGGGAAGCCCCTTCCCTTTCCCTTCCCCGACGGGGGGGGGAGGGGGGGTCCCGGGGGGGGTCCCGGGGGAGTCCCGGGTCAGATACGACGGCCCCCCCGTACCGACCTTGAGCAACGTCGTAATTGAGTCGAAGGGAAGCCCCTTCCCTTTCCCTTCCCCGACGGGGGGGGGAGGGGGGGTCCCGGGGGGGGTCCCGGGGGAGTCCCGGGTCAGATACGACGCCCCCCCCCCGTACCGACCTTGAGCAACGTCGTAATTGAGTCGAAGGGAAGCCCCTTCCCTTTCCCTTCCCCGACGGGGGGGGGAGGGGGGGTCCCGGGGGGGGTCCCGGGGGAGTCCCGGGTCAGATACGACGCCCCCCCCCGTACCGACCTTGAGCAACGTCGTAATTGAGTCGAAGGGAAGCCCCTTCCCTTTCCCTTCCCCGACGGGGGGGGGAGGGGGGGTCCCGGGGGGGGTCCCGGGGGAGTCCCGGGGAAGTCCCGGGTCAGATACGACACCTCCCTCCCCCACCTTCTCGTCCTTCTCCCCGTTCCCCAAAACCATCCCACAGCCCGTGCCTCTTGCTGCGCATTGCGAACAGTGTCGGCGGCACCAGCCGTAAGGCCTTCGCAAGATCGTCTGATGATCCGATGTTTCCGTCGGCTGCTCGTAGTCCAGAACAGAGAGGTCAGGGAGCATTGCTGGTTGCCGTCCACATAGAGCGTTGTATGGAGACACCTCGTTATAGAAGGTGAATGCGTTGGCGGCGAACAAGGCTTCGTGCAGTAGTCGGGTGAACACAAGAGGTATGTCTCACCTATTGAGCTCCGCCTCCACGGCGTGAAGTAAATGGCGTAGGATGCCATTTCTGGCCTCGATCGTTGTAGCGCGCTGTCCACACGCACGCATTCTAAGTTCAGTGCCTTTTGCCTGGAGGACTGCTTTCGCAGTGTGGTTGTTAAGGGCACCTTCTCCATCAGAGTGAAGTACCTTGGCCGGTCCAAACTGCATCCAGCACTGATGGTATGCATCCAGGATGCTGGTCATAATCTTGTCTGGAATTTCGATCCCAGTAGCATATCGTATACAGCGATCGATAATGTGGGATATCTTGTGTTCTTGTTTGTAGAACATCAGATCACATCCCACTTCCTCATTGAATTTGTCAGGTAATGCAATAGAGGGCATAACAGTGTGTCCAGGCTTGTCCCAAGCTCTGCATTCTCGGCATGTGTCACAGACACCTCTCATGAGGTCGAGTCTGACACTGCCTAGTTTGCTCAAGCTGAGTCTCTTCTTAGGCTCTTTCGCATGGGACCAGCGTAAATGTGGTTTTCGCAATCTCGCGTGTTACCACGCTGGTGTCAAGGCTTCGCAGGTTTTGTAAACTGATTTGTACATCGAAGCGTGACCAGTCTGGTAGTCGTGGTCGTGCAGCAGGGATCCCCACTGGTGGCGGTGGAGGTGCTTCTCCACCATGTTGTCGACCACGTCTGACTCTAACCTGTGGTAGTCGGAGGTGGTCATCCGAACTACCAGCTCCACTTGAGGCAGGTCGCCCTGCAGCAGGCTCAGCAACATGTCTTCCATAAGTAATGGCGTGGCTGCTTGCGCCCGCGGTGGGTCCAGCTCTCGAGCCGGGTCTCGGTGCTCTCAGTCGCGTAAGTGGTGGTGCTGCTGGCGCCTCGGGCGGTGGTGCTGCTACCTCAGCAGGATCTGGAGGTGCAGGTCCTGCTGCCGGCTCGGAGGGAACCGGCGCGTCTGTCCATGACTGTCGGGCAACTTCCAAGGCATGGCGAATTTGCATCTGCCAGGTGTTAGTGCGTGTCCAGGTGTGTTCTTCCCGTAGTTCTTCTTGCAGCTCGGACACTCCCAACGGTAGTCGTCCTTATCGCACCTCCTGCAATGTCTCGGATCTCTATCATGAGAGGGAGGGTGCATGTTAACGTTGTCCGCGCAAGCAAGACAAGCGAGCCCCCCCGACGGTGGTCTCGCAATCGAGCCACCAGGTTATCAGGGAAGACTCGGATCGTCCAAATCGCATCCCCTCGCGTTGGTGACCGACACGGTGGACGAATACGGGCAGCCATGGAAAGGGCCACGAATTGCCTGGAAGAGATCGTGTGCGATCTGAACAGATTCGACGAAGAGTGACTGCATATTTGACGTATAGTTTGCAGCCATGGACACCTCTGTATTGCATACCGACGCGTGTTGATGATGGCCACTGCATCGGTTCCGTTCAAAAGGGGTGAATAATAGACGATGGTTGGCCATGATCTGGGTCGGCTTTCGTATCAGTACCCCATGGGAATCACGTGAGCCAGTAGTGCACTGATCCACGTTCACCTTGCAAGTGCCCTTGCTTTTAGCCAAGTCCATGGTGTACCTGGTCCACCCAAGTCCCTACTGGTTGTTCTCTTAAGTAGAACCGCCGGAGATTATTTTGACGTACAGCCACCTCCCCACAGAACTTGACGTTCCAAATCTTCTTCATTATGTGCATGCCAGGTATCGTAGTTAACCTCTGCATTGAAATAGGAAGGTAAACCAATTGTTCTGCAGTTGGGCTGTAGTACCATAACCTTGACGGAACAAACGTCTAGATCGTGCAACGCTGCATATTGGACCTCCCTGTTGCCAAGGTCAACGAAAGCGCGTTTGTCGAGGTTTCCCTCTGAAGACAGACCTCGGCTGAATGCTAGTTGGGAGATGCCTCCAATTCCTCCACGCAATTCTAATATATCTACCTTATTGAGCCGCCCGTAGCACACGGTGGGGACTACGGAGAATACAGCTGCATAGGATTCAGCAGGTTACCCCGCAAATAATGTGATGAAGGTCTCCTCTCCATCGTCGCTATCCGTGTCGGAGTCCAGGTGTGCGTCGGTGTAGTACGTACTACACCCAAGTCCTTTAAGGTCGTCTCCACAGTCGCCGTTGCCTTCTTCGACTAGTTCGGGTATCTTGCGTGGTTTGATGCTATCTTCTGCGTCTGCTTTCTGTTTTTCTTGTTGTTTAATTATGGCATCTGTTGGTAGTGCCGTCTGTCTTTCTGTCTCAGGTGAGCTAAGTGTCGGAATTTCGGGAATGGAGGGGGGCACGCGGCCGCGCTCAATCGAAAAGGGAGGGGGCGATCGTCGTCGATGATCGCCACTCGCCTTGAGCGTGGTCGTGAGCTACCATCTCCCAAGAGAGTCGGTTCCGGCTGCCCCCAGCACAGTCCAGTACGGATGTTGGTAAAACCATTGGGTAATAGTGCGTCGTAATTGTACCCAGTCGGCTGGTCCTGGATCTTGATGTCCTGAATGATCGTGTTGTCGTCCAGGTTCATCGCCACCCGTCCCACAACATGGTCCCACTCGGGGCCAGTCTTAGGAGACTGAACGTAAGTTCGAGCTCCTTTTATCAACGCGAGTATGGATACTCAGATTTACAGCACTTGTGTGATTCCTTTGTGTTCTATGTACGTCCATTTGATCAAGTAACCTTGCGGTCATGATCGCTAGTGTCTTGTTGCGCCATTCGGCCGTCTGAGTACCTTGTCCATACCAGTCTAGAATATGCTCGGTATGTTCTGCACGTTCCCCTGCTATATTGCATGCGCATCGTCATAGGTTGGTGGGGATGCGCGTACACGTAGTCGCCTCTTGCAGATCTGATCCGC